TTACTGTGGATCTTGCATTTTTTGATGAGCCACTTCTTTTCTAAGCACAGTGCCCTTTTTCAAGGACGAACCCCTTCTGACAGATAACATATCCAAGATGAGACCAAGTCTCATCACCCTTGCTAGGAAGGAGCCTTCTGTCTGCACTTCTCCCTACACAGATTTGTTAGTTTCAGTTATAGCCTATAGGATTTACTGAAGAAGCTCTGATGCTGTGGCCCACAGTGTGTTGTGTTTTTAACCAAAAGGGTTCATATCCCTGGTGGTCTGAAACAATCAGTGAGTGGCTCCTTGGGAGAAAAATGTATAATGTCCAGTATTGTAAAAATGTATGGCTTTGGAAACCTAGTAGAGTCACTCAATTTGAGGGAATTTGAGTTTTTGAGTACTCATTTATAACTATATCCACAGATCTATAAGGAGCTCTGGTGGCTTAGTGGTAAGGAGCTGCACTGCCAACCCAAAGGCATGCAGTTTGAATTCACTAGCCTTTTCCATGGTAAAAAAAATGGGCAGTTTCCCTCTGTGTGACTTACTGCCTCTGAAAACCCCCTGGTGGGTGAACTAAGAGTCAGTTTCAACTTAATGGTATATAACACAACAACAGGTTAGATAGGTATAAACAAAAAGATATATAAACACACACACACACACACACACACACACACACACACACACACACGGAGCTCTAGTGGATTAGCAGGCAAGGAACTGCATTGCCAACACAAAGGCGAAGGTTCAAATCCACCAGGTGCTCCGTGGGAGAAAGATGAGCAATCTCCTGTGAAAAGTTCTGAGTTGGTTCTGGCTCAAAGGCACACAACAACGAAGGATATATACCTAAGAGTTTTATTAAGTGGTTATTTTTAGCAGGTATCATTTTGGGGTTTCTAATTCTTTTTTTCTGTATTGTACATTGATTATTCTTGCCATTTTGGGGGGAATTAAATCTATAGTACATGTACATGGGCATGCATGAAATTCATTTAGGAAGTTTGGGAGACACCTGAAGGAGAAGGGTAGGGAGAAACAGACCAATAACTAGGATAATAGACTGACAAGGCTGGGACCTCTGAAAATGTGATGACACTACCACGCCTACTGCAATGTGTCTGGAAGACAGAAATAAACTCTCTCGCTTTGCTGAAGCCACTGTAATTTTGAGTTCTCACTGTATGTAGCTGAACTAATATCTAAATAATAGAAATAATCATAATTGCAGCAATAGCAGTTACCGAACACCTACTAGGTTCTAGGCACCATGCCTAAGCATCTTATACTCATCTGTCGATCCTTACATACAATACAATAGGATGAGTACAATCATTACTCCCGTTATTCCTCAAAGATGAGGAAGCTGAGCACAGCTAGGTTTCAAAATCTTTAACATGACCTGTGATGCCTATTGACTCTGCCAACATAGGCTTGACTGTCAGGCCAAGACAGCAGCACCAATGGCTACAAAGGGCTCCCTGGTATTCTGACCCCCGCAAGGACACCTGAGAGATATGACAGGCTGCAGGCACAAGCTGTCAGCACTGGGCTTAATCAATAGCCTACAGATACCAGTATGACTGTTGAGAGGCTTCCAAGGTCCTGGGCTAGAATCCCAGCCCTGTGCTAATGGCTGGCTGGCAGATCACGTCTCTCTGCACTTCAGTATCCTTATCTTCAAAATGCCAAGTACCTCCCAGGATTGGAGGGCTCAATATCCGCAAGGCAGAGCTTGGCGTGCAGTAGGTGCCCCTTTCCTTGACTAGGTATCTAACTTGAGAAGGCCACACAGGCATAGGATACTCATAATACACACACACTCACAAAATACACATACTCAGGTAACCCATAGACTAGAAAGGTAAAAGCAAAAGTAATTCCTTGAATACAAATCCCACACATCTTTGCCCAGCTTTTCCCTGACTCTTTGTTTCCATTTTTTAGACTCCCACAGCACAAGTTACCCTATACTCCATTTCTTGAGTGCTGTCCCTCCTGCCAACCTCTTTTTTTTTCCTGCCAACCTCTTAAAGCTTGTGTGATTGCTACAAAAACTTCTTAGTGCCCTGGTTTCACTTTCTCCTCCACATCCTTCTCACTCCCATTCAACTTACTTTTTTTATCTTTGCTGCTGCTGTTCCCTTGCAAGGAATGCACTTCTTCTGAGTTTTCCTCTAGAAAACTCCTACTCATCCTTCAAAACCCAGTTCATATACTATTGTTCCTGTGATAGCTTCCTTACTCTGCACATTACCGTAATACTTCAATGCCTGCACATATATTTGTTGTTGTTATGTGCCATCGAGTCGCTTGCGATTCATAGCAACTCTATGTACAAAACATCTATAATATCATTTTACACTTCTAAGAAGGATGCTCTGGTGTCTTCTTGTTGTGTGCTGTTGAGTAGAAGCCAACACATAGCTGAACCTCCAGTGGATCTTCAAAGGTAGTAGTGGCTTAGTGGTGAGAAATTGTGCTGCCAACACCAAGGCATGCATTTCAAATCCACCAGCTGCTCCACAGGAGAGAGATGGGCAATCTCCTCCCATGCAATTTACTGCCTCTGGAAACCCACTGAAGAGTCAGCTATGGGTAGGTTCCAACTCGACAGTACACGACAACAACATACTACATGTATAAAGAGCTCTGGTGGCAAAGTCTATAGATAATTACACTGCTAACTCCAAGGTTGGGCTCTGCTTTTGTAGTTCAAATCCATATGGGAGAAAGATGAGTAGTCTCCTCATTTGTCATTTATGCCCCTGAAAACCCAGTGGAGGGTCAGCTCTGAGTCATAACTGACTTGACAGCAATGTGTATACTAGACACATACATCCATGATAGCACTTTATTACAGTGCTAAGCATTTGTTGATAAGCCTGTCTCCCTGGGCATCCTAGACATTCCAACCAAGGTCTGTATTTTACCTATTGAAATCTCTCTGGAGTTACAGGGGGCGTGCATTAGTGGAAGCTATTACCCAAGTCCCTGCATGGAAGCAAAAGCCATTTCAACATGAAAATATTCACTAATGAACTGAAATGAGTTCTCAGACAAAACAGCCCTCCGGGTTTTTCTCTAACAACTAGCCTCATCTTATGCCCTGGGCTTTCTGGGGCAGCTGTTCTCAGGCTACAGCTGGCAAATGCATTATAAAATAACTGCAGGATTTCATGAAATTATGGAAGCAACATTGAATTTAAATAACACCATCAACAAAGGAGAGTCTGGCAGAAAGATTTCCCCTAAAAAAATAAAGGGTGAGAAACTCAACAAGATGATGGATTAACAGCACTAGAGAATGGTTTGAAAATCTGATGAGTGAGAGCATGCAGCAACTTTCGTTTAACCACGGTGATTCACAGAGTTTTCAAGGTCCTGTTGTTCCGGAAGTGGATGGCCCGTCCTGCTTCTCTGTCTTAGTCTGGAAGCTCTGCTGAAAGCTGTCTACCACAGGTGACCCTGCAGGTATTTGAGATACTGATGGCACAGCGTCCAGCATCACAGCAACGTGCAAGCCACCACAGCACAGCAAACCGATAAACAAATGGTGGAAAAGTAGAGGGTCTGTGAGAGAAAAACCCTCAATAAGAGGGGACCAATGCTATTATAGCAACAATAGACCTGCGCATGGCAGACACTGTGATACGGCTTCATGCTGTTAATGGAGTCACTCTGAATTGTAGTCCATTTATAGCATCTAATAATAAAGAATGTTTGTCTTGAGCATTTCAAGATGTATCTATATAAGATCAAGCTGGCAACGCATTTCAAGATGTATCTATATGAGATCAAGCTGATAACAGCATCTGAAAAGATCAAGAGAATAACCTTAGAGGGCAGTGAGTGTATGTTAACTGGGAAGGAACAGTTAATGGGAGAGGATCAGAAAGGTTGTACACCTTGGAGAATGTGATTAAAGTCACTGAATTGTTTCTATGTGGTAACTTGAATTGGTTTGTTCTGCTGTATACATTTTCATCAACAATAAAAATAACTGGAGAAGGAAAAGAATATGTGGCAATGAAACCTAGACTTTTTGGAGCCACAGAAGCTAGATGAACCCCCAAAACTACTGCCTTGAGATAATCTTAAACCCTTAAAAGCAAAAATACCCCTGAAGTTTTCTTAAAACCAAACAACGGTTTAGCTTAACAAATAAAGGAAGTTTGCCTTGAACGTTATACCCTTTTAAGAGTTTTCTGCTGGCAATGGTGGAAGAGTAACTTGAAAAAGGAGGGTCAGAATGATTGCAAGGTTCTAAAAATATAACCAATATCACTTAATTATTCATTTAGAGACTACTGAGTTGGTGTATGCTGTGTTGTGTACAGTTATAAAAAATATAAATAAGTTATATATAAGGGGACAAACAGCAAAACCAAGGGGAGTCTACTGTCATTTCTGCCAAAGGGGAACTTCTTTATGACCACAGTGAAGAGTCTAGATGTAATGGGTGGTATATCATACAATGTTGTTTCAAAAAGTGACTCCAAATAAAATCTACACTTGATTCCTTCCCTGTTAAGTCGATGGATCATCATAAAGCTTTAATTCTTACCTGAATATTATAGATTCTAAGACAAACTAGCCTTACATTTATGATTTTTGCATTGATGTCTGTGCTTATTTAATCTTTTTATAGTCTAAGCATCAGTGTACAGTTTCTGCTGTCTTCTAAATTTTGCAGATTAGACATAAGAATTATCTCTGTAATTTTTTTAGATTAGAAAAACCTCAAAGCTTCTTTCTGCTATGAATGAAGATGAAAAAAGGGCCTCCTCTCTTAAAAAAACATTTACCAAGTTGAAGAATGATGTGAGGTGGGCCAGCAGGGTCCAGAACACACATGACAGCCTGGATTCTAACTTGGACTCAACCCTGGACCTTGTTTCCCTTCTGAGGTGTCTCACTGGTTCTCAGCAGTCAAAACCAATAAAGCCACAGCTGAGCTCCTTGCCCACTCGCCTGCCAATAGAGAGGGCAGCAGGCTGAACACGTACTTGTAGATGGCGCTGTCCTTCTTGGGGCTGTGCTGTGGCAGGAGGCTGTGGGAATACTGATGCACACCCAGGTCGTACAGCGAAGGGAAGTCCTTGCCACAGAGGTGGCAGCGGTAGCTCAGCTCCTCCTGGTGGCTCTTGATGTGTTCCAGAAATGTGTCGAGCTTTGGGAACGTCTGGGCACAGCTCTTGACCACACATTTATACACCTTGAAGGAAGACGTACAAAGCATGTGAGTGGAGGCAGAGAATAAGCAGAGTGGTCTCCACTGCTTCACTACCCTCCAGTATAGCAGGTGAACCACTAGGGTCATGTTCTCTGCCACTGGAGCCCTGGTATTACTTTGACGAGAGGATCCTCTCCAACTAAGCAAGGTAGCTCTAGTAGCTTAGTGGCAAGATGCCGTGCTGCAATCCAAAAAGCACACCAGCTCTGAACCCACCAGCTGCTCTGCAGGAGAAAGGTTGGCAGTCTCCTTGTGTGTGATTAATTGGCTCTGAAAACCTGCTGGAGGGTCAGCTATGAGTAAGTTCCGGCTCAATGGCCACAACAACTCCCTCTAAGCCAGTCACTACAGTCCCCTAATCTTTGCCTTATGCTCTGTATGATATGAATATGTTTAGAAAAATTACCTAAAAGTTGGAAATATAGTGAAAAGATGACTGACAGCTATTTATGTCAAGGTAGAATTGTTGATTGTTGTTATGTGCCATTGAGTCAGAAGTGACTCATAGCTGATAGGTGACCCTCCAGTGGGTTTTCAGAGACAATAAATAACACAGGAAGAGAATTCCCACCTTCCTCAGGCAGAGTAGCTGATGGATTCAAATCACATGTCTTTTGGCTGGCAGCACACCTCCTTACCACTAGGCCACCAGAGATCCAATGTCAATGTTGATGTTAAGAGTTGTTATATTTTAGCAAACATCAAATGCTGGTGAGGTTGCAGAGAAACTGGAACCCTTATTCACTGTTGTTGGGAATATAAAATGGTACAACCACTGTGGAAGGCTGTATGGCACTTTCTCAAAAAGTTGCAAATAGAAATACCATTTGACCCAGCAATTCCACTACTGGGAATTTACCCTAAAGAAACCATAACCTCCACCCAAGCAGATATATGCACACCTGTGTTTATTGTGGCTTTGTTAGCAATTGCAAAGAGTTGGAAACAACCCAAGTGCCCATCAACAAACGAATGGATAGAGAAGGCGAGCTCTGGTGGCCTAGTGGCAAGAACCTGCACTGCAAGCCCAGAGGTGCGTGGTTCAAATCCACCAGATGCTCTGCTGAAGAAGGAGGGACAGTCTCCTCCTGTACCAGTCAGATCCGATTTGACGGTACACACATAAAAAAAAAAAAAAAAAAAAAAAAAAAAAACACGAATGGATAGAGAAGTTCTGGTATAGTCACACAATGAAATACTACGCTGCATTGAAAAACAAGGAACTCATGAAATATTATTCAAAATGGGTGACCCTGGAGGACATTATACTGAGTGAAATATCTCAGTCACAAAAAGACAAATACTGCATGGTGCCACTGTTGTAAAACGGGACTTACACTGGCATTGAGGGAAGACAGCAGGAGGGGATAAATGATGTATACTGCACTGAAACAGATGAGGGAGAGAACTGTTAAAAGGGATATATGATTGTGTATTATTGTCATGACAGGAGTTCAGAAGGAAGGCTGCACAGTGGTGTGGACTTAGGGGGAGAGACTGCATAACAATGAAAGAGTTTTACTTTTCAAGAAGAGTGAATTGCGGGGAGGGCATAGCAGGGAGAAAAGTGAAACAGTAAATGAGTGGAAACCCTAAGTCTTTGCAAACTTTCATTAAAATTAATAAAATAAAAGAGTTGTTGTATTTTAAAAATAACCTCCTGGAATAGTTATCACACAACTTGGCAATTCTATTCCTAGGTATGTACCCACAAGAATTAAAACACATTTGCATAAAAGTCTACATGAATGTCCATAAAAACATTATTTATTTTTTAAAAAGCCCAAAAAATTATTTTTAATAGCCAAAAAGTAGAATTCTGATGTTCATCAGTTGATTAATGGATAAATGTGGTATAGCAATGGTAAAGTATTTTACCACAAAAAGAAATACCTTTTTTTAAAAAAAAAACAACGAAGTTTTGACCTATGTTATAACATGAACAAACACTTGAAACCATGATGTTAAGTAAAGGAAGTCAGACCCAAAGGACACATGCTGAATGATTTCCTTTCTATGAACTGTCCAAAACAGGCAAATCTTTGGAGCCATAAGACAGATTAATGGTTAGGTGCTGGAGAGAGGGAGGAATGGGGAGAGATTGATAATGGGTACAGACTATTCTTTGGGGATAATCAAAGTGTTCTGGAATTAGATAAGTGTGATGGCTGCACAATCTTATGACTATATTAAAAACTACTTATGAGTATTCTTTAAAAGGGTGCATTTTATGGTAAGAGAATTCTATTTCAATAAAAAGAATAAAAGAAGAAGAATGGAGTTGTAAATCCCCTTGGGTAAGTTTTTAGACATCAGAGCTTCTCAGGGCATTATGAATTTTTGTTTCTGTATGTGACTCTCCTTACTATATGACATTCAGGAGGAGGGCTTTCTCTTTATGGCCAGCACATGGTGGAGTCAGCTGGCCCTGCCCAAGCAGAGGAAGTCTGACTCAGCATGGGTAGTAAGAGGACATTTCTGGGCAAGTGAAGCCCACTCCCATCCCTTTATAGGTTGTATTCAAGGGTCCATACCCAACAGGGCTGGTGACAGGGTGGCTATGGTTAGTGGCCACTCACCTACCTGCTCGTTTTTATGCTGGGTCATATGAGACTTGAGCTGGAAGTAGGTGCTGAACTTGCTAGGGCAGAATTGGCACAGGTAGGAGCTATCGATGAGGACCACCTGCTTGGTCTCCAGCTTGTCCCCCTCATCTTCATCTGCCGTGGACAAGGCCTGGGCTGGCGGGGCACTCGACAGGGTCTGGCTCAACCCTGTGGACAAAGTCAGAGAAGAAAGTCACTGCAAAGAACAGAGAGAATCAAGATGGAGGGACACAGTGTTAAGGAAAGGTACAGAGAGTGTCCACTACGTGCTTTACTGGGTCCACCCCACCACCTACTATATGCTCAGTTGTAGACACTGTGCTCAAGGCACAGCCAGCTAGTACGTACTGAGAAGCCCGTCCCGATGATAAAACAATGAAAAGGCTGCAAAAATTAAAAAACCCCACTGCCATCAAGTCAATTCTAACTCATAGCAAGTCTCCTCTCATGTACAGGTGAGAGCCGACTGCCCCAGAAGGTTTCCAAAGCTGTAGTCTGCCACATTTATCTCCCACTAGGGGATCTGAAAAAGTAAGTTTTTAACTAGCAGTCAAGTGCTTTAATTATGGCGCCACTGACACCCCTTGAAATACTTGCTTACCAGTGGATATTAGCTGTTGCTCCGAATCCTTGCTCCCTGCCTTCTCTCCACGTTTATTAAAATCCTGGCTTCTTCCTAGTTGTGCTCATAAGGCCTCCCCAGCCTCCTGTTTTGATTCTATTATCTTTAAGCAGCTCAATGTTGCTAGATCATTCTACACTCTCCTTGAGGCCACAGGCCTCTAACTTTATAAGCCCAGTGACCTGGCACATAGAAGACATAGAAGACCTTAATAGATATTTGCTAGTCAAATCCTTGGTGCATACCATTGTAGATTTTTTTTGGGGGGGGGGGAAGGTTACTTTTCTTAAGAGTTTGCAAGAACTCGGAGGGTACATACGGAACAGCTACACACATAGCAGGGCCAGATCCAACAGGAAGCTCTGATGAAAACTGTCATATAAAGGCAACCACACATTGCTTAATCAGCAAAACCTCCCCTTCTAGCCAGTGGGTAGCTAGTGTTTTCATCCTTGGACTGTATAAAAGCCCCCAGGTGCTAGCTTTGCAGTGTCTAATATGCTGACCATGAGCTACATGTACCTACTGAGAAACTGAAATGTGGTTAGTCTACCATTAGCTGTGCAATAAATATAAAACATACATTGCATTTTGAAAACTTAGTATGGGAAACTGGTGTAAAATATTTATAATTTCATTATTTCTAGAGACAAATCCTGATTAAAAGTGAAGATACACACAACAGAATTTCCAAGTCTAACGCAATTCAAGGGATTCCAAAGGAGTGCTGGTGGCTTAGTGGTACGGAATTGCACTGACAACACAAAGGCACACGGTTCAAACCCACCAGCTGCTCCATGGGAGAAAGATGGGCAATCTCGATCCTTGCAATTTACTGCCTCTGAAAACTTGCTGGAGAGTCAGCTACTTGTTGGTTCCACCTCAATGGTACACAACAACAACAATGGAATCCAGATTTTTCTGGACCCATAAAGGCTGAATGAGTCCCAGAAACCATTACTCTAAGATAACATTTTTCCCCTTCCTTTTCTTGCTGTGTGCCATCAAATTGGATCCGACTGGCACAGGAGATTGCCCTCCTGCTCCAGTGGAGCATCTCTGGTAGATTTGAACAGTGTGCCTTCAGGATGGCTGTGCAGCTTCTTGCCACTGGGCCACCAGAGCTCCCTTTTGAAGGTAACGTTTAAACTTTAACTAAAATAGTCCCTAAAATCTTCTTGAAAACCAAACAATCTTTTAGTTTAACTAGTAAAAAATGTCTGCCTTGAACATGATACCTTTTCAAGCTATCTAAATGAGAACAAATATGCAAATGGAAGGGAGCTCTGGTGGTCTAGTGGCAAGAAGCTGTGCTGCAATCCCAAAGAGGCAGTTCGAATCCACGAGATGCTCTGCTGCAGAAGGAGGGACAATCTTTTCCTGTGCCAGTCAGATCCAATTCAACAGTACACAGCAAGGAAAAAATTTATAAAAAAATCTGACAACTGGCAAGATTAGATGGGAAACATTAGCATAAACAATAAGTTAATTTATGTTAATGCAGGAGGAACATAAATTAACAGGAAAACAGGAACACATACATTAACAGGAAAAAGAGGTAATCAATGTTACATAATTGTGCAAGAAAAAATTGTTGAATTAGTATATATTCTGCTGTGTTACAGTGTCAACAACCACAAAATAATTATTAAAATAGAAAGAAGTCTTTAAATTACATGCTCAAATGGTATTATTTTAAATATATTGGGTTAAATATATTAACTTGAATGAATTTAACTTCTTAAATTGTTTTTAATATAGCTCCTAAAACATTTTAAATGATGTTATTCCTATTATACTTCTTAGCTAGTGCTTTTCTAGACCTAATAAACTCATAACCCAAAATTCATTGCCATTGAGTCAGAACTGATTCAGAGCTGACCTTTCAGTAGGTTTTCAGGGGCTGTAATAGCAAGGGAGGAGACTGTCCATCTTTTCTCTCTCAGAGCAACTGATGTATTTGAACTGCTTGGCATTGGGTTGCCAGTGTAGCTCCTTACCCACCAGACCACCACAGCTCTCTAGTAAGCTTATGAAAGAGGACTACACCAACTCCAGGGACAGAACCATTCATACAAGAGAGCTCAGATGAGAATCCTACAGACTATGAATGGTCTGGAGAACATACCTGTCCACAGAGGTCAAAGAGGTTCCAACTAATGACCAAGTGATACTGCCTGTCTTCAGAAATGTATTTGAAAAGAAATTCTGAGGTGGATCCAAGTTCAAGAAAAAAGATAAGCGGTTGATTAATGATGCCTGCCATGATATAAAATTATATAACACACATACGGTATTACTTGCTATCCCTCCTATGCCTCATTGGTCATATAAATAAAATAAAGTCTAGAAAGGCCAAGTGGATGTCAGTTAGCAACAAAACTTGTGAGGCTGCTGGGGAGATGACTGGGGATGGTGGCATTCCCCACTTCCACCCACACCCACCTGTGCTTTCCTCGTCCTCCTGTCTACTGGGGTTCAGGGCCATGACCTGCACAGTCACAGAGTTCCGAGAGACAGTGCCACCACTGCGCCCTGGGGGCCACACCTTGTGGGTCTGCATGTGTTTCTTGACATTAGACTTCTGGGCAAAGGCACGGCCACATGCGATGCACTGGAAGGGCTTCTCACCCGTGTGGCTGCAGAAGAGAAGGACTGTCAGTACAATTCTGTAGGGACAGGGATTTGGCCTCAGTTCAGGTGCTGACCACTACCATGAAGGCCAAGACACAGAGTCTAGATGTCGCTGGGAACCACCCGCTGCTGAGGAATGCTGGGACGGAGGATCTGGGCTCAATCTCATGCTATGTTCATAGAGAATTTGTGATATCCTTGTGGAAAAACAATGAAGTGAAAGCCACTGATAAACAAAGAAGCTTAAGAAATATGGCCTCGTCTGGGAAGCTTATTTATGAATAACTTCTATTTCATCATGTAATTTATGCACCATGAAATTATACAGAGTCAACACTCTCATTCTAAAAGCTGAAGCAACCTTTCTAAACATGCGATTGTGTCTGTGTGAGGAGTTTTCCTTGCCTCTTGGAACTTGGATCAATCCTTATGAACACCATCTTTTCATCATTTTAAAAATGTTATTTTTAAATTAAATATTCCCATTCCAAAGAAGGGTGACCCAACTGAGTGTGGAAACTACAGAACAATCTCATTGATTTCACATGCAAGCAAGATTCTACTGAAGATTATCCAAAAACGACTGGAACAGTACATCGCAGAGAACTGCCAAAAGTCCAGGCTGGGTTTAGAAGGGGTCGTGGTACTAGGGATATTGTAGCTGATGTTAGATGGATCTTAGCTGAAAGCAGAGAACACCAGAAGTATGTCTATCTGTGTTTCATTGATTATGCAAAGGCATTTGACTGCGTGGATCTTAACAAACTTAATTGTGCTAATGTGAAACCTATACTTGGACCAAGAGGCAGTCATCAGAACAGAGCAGGGCAACACTGCCTGGTTCAAAATTGGGAAGGGTGTACGCCAGGGATGTGTCCTATCTCCATACCTTTTCAACCTGTATGCAGAGCAGATTATCCGAGAGGCTGGGCTCTATGAGGAGAAGTGTGGCGTTAGGATTGGTGGAAGATCTATCAACAATCTGCGTTATGCAGATGACACAACCCTGCTCACTGAAACTGAGGAGGACCTCATGCATTTACTGCAGAGGGTCAAGGACTGCAGCCTTCAGTATGGACTGAGGCTCAATGTCAAGAAGACAAAGATTCTCACCACTGGACCAATTGGTAGCATCAGGATGGATGGCGAAGAGATTGAGATTGTTCACAGCTTCAGTTTGCTCGGCTCCACGATCAACACTCTTGGCACCAGCAGCCAGGAAATCAAAAAACATATTGCGATGGGAAAGTCTGCTATTATGGACCTCTCTAAAGTACTCAAGAGCAACAGTGTCTCTCTGGAGACTAAGGTCCGCCTGATACAGGCCATGGTTTTTGCAATCACTTGTTATGCATCAGAGAGTTGGACAATGACTAGGGAGGATAGAAGGAGAATAGACGCCTTTGAGCTGTGGTGCTAGAGAAGAGTATTGAATGTACCATGGACTGCCAAGAAAACAAACAGATTCATCCTGGAGAGTGTTAAACCAGGCTGCTCCTTGGAGGCAAGGATTCTGGGGCTTCGTCTGACATACTTTGGACATGTTGTAAGGAGATACAGGTCTTTAGAGAGGGACGTCATTCTGGGTAGAGTAGAGGGACAGCGCAGGAGGGGAAGACCCTCTATGAGGTGGATTGATTCAGTGACTGGGGTAATCGGGATGGGTGTGTCAGAGGCAATGCGATTGGCACAGGATAGAGCAGGGTTTAGGGCTGTTGTACATAGGGTCGCTATGAGTTGCAAACGACTTGATGGCACATAACAACAACAACAACGTTTGCTCTAGTGCCTTCATATTTATGAGCTCTTTGGGTTAAGCAGCTCTCTTACATTATGAAAGTTGTGAAGGCATCATTATAAAAATAGTTTTCCATGTCTTAATGGAAAAAAAAAGATCTGGGCTTTTGATGGCATCGCTGACTGCTGACCAACCATATCTGTGGTCATCTTCTGTGAGACAATACATCTCTTAATAATTTTGACTCATTTAAATGGTGATTTCTGTTATTTAAAGGAGAGGGAAAAAATCTTAGATGATTCTACACTTACGTTGTTATTTGATACTATTCTTCTAATCAACTCACATTTTTAAATTATTATTATTTTGTGTGTGTGTGTGTACCATCAAATCAGATCTGACTGGCACAGGAGGAGATTGTCCCTCCTCCAGCAAAGAATCTGGTGGATTTGAACTGCTCACCTCTGGGATTGCAATGCAGCCTCTTGCCACTAGGCCACCGGAGCATGCCTCAATTCACATTTCAAAAAAAGACTTGAAAAACTTAAAAGTAATTTTAAAAGGAAGCTTTCTATTATTTTTGTATTTGGAAAATCACTTGCCAAAAATACAAAAAAAGCAAATGCAGTAATGACAAAAAGCAATATTTGTAAAATCTACAGCTTTACTCTCATATGGTAGACACCAGTCACATGGGACTACTCAAATTTTTTTAAGTGGAAGAAAATGAAAAATTGTCTTAGCTTCCTAGTCCTATCAGCCACATTTCAAGTGGTCAGTAGTCAAACGTGGATGGTGGGTACCATAATGGGCAGCAAAGATTCAAACATTTCCATCACTGTAGAAAATTCAATTGGACACCACTAATTCAGGTCAGTGGTTCTAACTGGTGTTAACCCTGGCATCATTTGGGAATATTTGGAAATATTCTGAGTTGTCACAGCTGAGGAGAGGGGAAGAAGAGGTACTATAAGCACATACTGGATAGAGGCCAAGGACATATTCAGCATTCTATAACTCACAGAACAACTCTCAGAGTAAAGAGTCACCTAATCCAAAATGACAATAATGCCCAGGTTGAAAATTCCTGATGTAGAAAGAAACTGTGGCCTGCCATGGCTAGAAAAAAGAGAATCACTTTATCTCTTTCTTTGTTACTGTGACAGATGGAGCTTGGCCCCCACCCAAACTGGAGGTGGAAAGAGACCTTGCTTCCAATGCACAAGGCCTCCTAGCCAGGGCCTCCCCGGGGCCCCTGCCCACCACACCTGGGTACCTTCGGATGTGCTGCTGCAGGTCAAAGTTCTTGGTGAATGATTTGTCACAGTATGAACACTTGAGTTTTTGAGCCTTTGGCTTCCCAGCAGCTGAAAGAGAATACAGGAGGAAAGAGTAGGAATAGTGACGCCGAGGACACAGATGAGGGGCCACAGGCAGCTTCCAGGCACACCACCCCTGTGATCGGGAGTCAGAAAGCCCACACCACAGGAGGTCTACACCCTCAAGACAGGTAAGGGAGTCTCTGGGGAGCAAGGGGAGAAAACTCAAGACATGGTCAGGCTGTGAGAGTAGAGCTAACTCCTCAAAGACTCCACTCTGCCCCAGGATAAAAATCTAACCTGATATGTATGGTCTACAGGCTCAGCATCCTTTGCTTCTTGCAAAATTCATTAATTCTCCCATCCAGCCACAGTGGACTTCTTGTTAATCTGTAAAGACCCTAAGTATAATCATACCTCAGAGCCTTTTCACCTGCTGTTCCTCCTACCTAGAATGCTTGTCCCTCACATAGGCATAATAGTACTTTCTTGTCATGCTCACAGAAGTCTTTTCTATCTAAGTAGTATTATTTCCCAGCCTCTCCCCAGTTATTTTCAATCACCCATCCACTGCTCTTAAGTCAATTCTAACTCATAACAAATCTGTAAGGACAGAGTAAAACTTCCCTAGAGGGTTTCCAATGCTGTAATCTTTATGGAAGCTGACTGCCACATCTTTCTCCAAAGAAATGGCTCACAGGTTTGAACTGCCAACCTTTTGGCTAGCAGACACATGCTTTAACCACTAAGTCATCAAGAGTCCTTATTCTCAATCATGGTATCCTATTAATCTCCTCCCCAACACAATTCCACAACTCACAAATATTTATTCCTTGTCTGTCTCTCTTTAAACTGTGAATGAATGTGAGAACAGAGAAGTTATGGATCAAGGTGCTGAATCCCCAATATCTAACACCAAGCCTGGCATAAATACACTCAACAAATATTTGAGGAAGGATGGAAGGAAGGAAGGAAGGGAAGGAGGGAGGGAGGGAGGGAGGGAGTCATCTGAAAAATTCTGCTTCTCTCCTGTCCACCTCCATACTTAGTATGCCTGATACAGCTGTCTGTCTCCCTAATATCTACTCTCTCCTTCTTTCTTCCTTGAAAATTCCCTGCTTAACTAGGAATATCAATGTGCCTGGCTAAATGAGACATTTCTCGATTTCCTTTGCAACTAGGTATCATCATGTGACTAAGCTCTGCCTAAATGAGCTGCAGGCAAAGTATCACTTTTTCTGCAAAGAGCTAACACAACTGGGAAGGTACTCCCTTTTGTCCTACACTTCCTCCTTTTTATAGCCATTAAATATAGAATTGATGGCTGGAGCTTCAGCAGTCATTTTATACAATTAGACACTCTGAACCTGGATGAGAGAAGTCATGCAATAGGGATGGAAGTTCAGAAAGAAGAAATATGGGTACCTGGTAACCACAGTCACACTCAGATTGTGTGCCATATTTTACATGGGAGAAAACAGCAACACATTTTGGAAGTCATTCTTTTTCCCCAATACATGCTGCTACACTGAATCCTCACCACCAAAAACAAAACAAGACCAGAACTAAGTACCCTGAGGACAAGGTGTCGCTGAGGAAGGATGCCCATGGAGGGCTGGAGTCCCACCTTCTGGAAGTCCACTGCCACCTTTGGTTCGTCGGGTCTTCAGAGGTGGCGGAGAGTCAAAGGTGCCCACTGTACTCCCAGTGGCAGTGGTCATGGGGGCAGTGGGGTTTGGTCCTTTTGGTTTGAATCCCTGTTTGCCTGGGCTGTACACCGGGGGTGTGGCATACACCGGAGCCTCCACACACTGGTTTGGCACCTAGAAGGAGAGGACAGTCAGGGAGAGAGCTCTGGGAAGGCAAGGGAAGAGCTGTCCCTGCCAGAGAGGCCCCTCACTGTGGCCCTGGCTGACCTCAGTCACTCTTCACTTATATCCATCATCTTAAACCCTCCACCTGGCTCAGTCACAATCACTTCTGACACCCCTCAGAACTACTTGAAGCAAATAGGCCCTGTGAAGCCACACTGCCTAGGTTCAAATCCTGATTCTGCCACTTACCACCTATGACTCTGGACAAATCATTTAACTGTGTTAAGTTTCTTCATGTGCAAAAGAGGCTAATGAAAATACTCCTCTGATAAGGCACTTGTGAGGACTGAGTCTGAGCTGCTCTACACACAGTACCCCCAACCTAACAGGTGTTTAGGAAAGGCTGGGGTTACCATGATAAGACTGTGATCACCTCTCTCCACCCCTGCTCCTCACTCCCCATCCCTCCCTCTGCTCACCTCCAGGGGCGGGTAGGGCTGCATCCCTAGGGCCTGGATCTCCACCGTTCCACTCCCAGCCAGGGGTGCCGTGGCACTGTACACCTCCACCACGCCATTCCCACCAGGGTTGGGGCGCCCAGGAGGACCCAGGCTCTGGGGTGGGGGTGGCGGAGGCTGGGGAGGTGGAGGCGGAGGCAGTGGTGGAGGAGGTGGCGGAGGGGGTGGAGGTTGGGTGAGGTAGCTGGGCGCCGAATGCATGTTCAGGCTGCTCTGAAACCAAAAATAAGGAGAAGATGAAAGCAGCATAACAACTTGACACTATCTGCCTTGTTTAGTAGGGAGGGAGACTTTCACATTGTCAGCCATGTGGAAGGGCAGCCACTGACAGGTCAGCTTAGAGGACGGGGCTTGGAGGGACACAGAAACAAAATGAAGGAAGAATCTGTCAGCCTCGTGCTGCTATGAAAATCAGCAAATGACCCAGCCTGTGCATGAGAGAGTCAACACTGCCAGGTGTGATGTAGTAACTTTGGAAAGGTCTGTTAGTAGGCCTGGAGAGGGTGAGAACTTGCCTCTGGAAAATTCCCTGTATTGACAGGGGATGGTTTTGATCTATTGTTCACAGGGTTTCTAAGAGTCTTACTCATCTCAATAGCACCTCACAACAACTACATTAGTTAAGTTGCTCGGCCTCCATTTGAAATAGAAACACACTATCCAGCTTACCTCAAACATATCACCACATAATGTGATTTATGGTGTATATCTCCTTCCCTTCCAGGAGTCTGGAAATAATGGTCATTGTGGCTGGTCACTTGTATGACCAGCCCTCAATAAAAACTCTGGACTTTGAGGCACCAGCTGGCTCCCCTGGGCAGGAACACTAGGCACATATGTCTGTACTCCACAGCTGGAATCAGAAAAAGGTCTGCAGAGACTCTCCTCCCCTGTGAGAGACAACTATAGCAAACTGTGCCTGGGCTCCTCAAGGCCACACCTGACGAGTCGTTTCCCTTCGCTGGCCCAGCTTTGGACTCTTTCTCATCAAGCCTCAGCCAGCAGTGTAACCAACCTCAAGGCTCACGAGTCCTTCTAAAGGGTCTCTGAATATGTCGCTAACTGAGGACCCATGAACCAAGGCCACTGACTTATAAAAAATTCTTTCACAAAACTAGTAACACAGGTCATCAAAAACTTGTATACATGGATGGTCACTCCAAGAGTTTCTGAAACAGCCCAAAAAGGAAATGTCCACATGTCTATCCACAGGTACCCAAATTAAAAGATCATTGTTCTTTAATTTTCATATTATGAATTATGTCTCTAGAGTTTCTATATTATTAATGACTTTGAAATTTGCTTTTTTTACTTTTATTCTAAATATTTTCTAATGGACTGAAGCTACTTTAGTAAAAAATAAAGATGGTCAATACAGCTAAACTATATGTGGAAAAAAATTTAGGAATGGATCAGGGTGATGGGCAAAACAACACGATGAACATAATTAGTATCTCTGAATTGAATACATGTGAAGAGAAAAAATATTTGTTACATACATATTTAATCTACATATATACATACAAAGAAGCTGGGGTGTGGTTATGAAATCCTAGAGACAGGTTCAGGGTTCCTTTCTAAATATGGCGGCTTCCCCACCCCAGCAGGACTGGCCAACAGGAGAGGTACTAGTCTTTCTTCATGTGACAAGCTAGAATCAGGTTTCCTTCTTCCGGTTAGATTCTGAATCTACAAAAGTCAATGTGTAGGCTTGAAATTAAGAGTTGGGTGAAACTTCCCGTCTCCTTACCTGCACAGGTGGGGGCCCCTGAGGCATGGGCTGGTCCAGCGACGTGAAGGCTGACATGGCAGACATGAGCACATCATCACTGACTAAGATGTTCCCCTGCACCAGGGTCTGGATCAGTGGGGAGGGGGGTACTGTGATGTACGTGGAGATCTGGACGGTGAGAAGAAGAGCAGATGTCTATAGCCTCAGGAAGCTGAAGGCACGATGCAAAATAGCTAGGTTCTGAAGTCCCATAGACTGAAATTCCTTTTCACCTCTGCAGCTTCCTACTGTGTGATTCTGGACAAGTCAACAAGGTCTCTGAACCTCCCTTTCCTCATCTTCTAAATGAGAACAACAACAAAAGATAATCCTCTTCTTTGGAACATAATTGCTGTTTTTAAACTAACTAAATGCATGGGACGTAGGACAAAAATAAAATAACAAATGAGAAGAACAAGCCTCACCTCTCCTATAAGACATACCCTATGACTGAGCAATCCTGGGTCATATTCATCCCAGAAAAACTCACAATACCCACAGGCCATCCATGAACAATACTCTGCACAGTCTTGATTATAATAGTGAAAAATGAGAATAAGTGAATGCCCATCAATAAGGGATGAACTTAAAAATAGCAACAAAGCCATCGATCGGAGTGACATAAAACAGCAGGTAAAGAGTATTTTAAAAAAGCAAATCCCATAATAATGAATAGACTATATAATCTGATTTTTTAGAAACATAAAACTAGGGGAGCTCTGGTGGTCTAGTGGCAAGGAGCTGCAACTACAATCCCAGAAGCCAACGGTTCGAATCCACCAGATGCTCTGCCGGGGAAGGAGGGACAATCTCCTCCTGTACCAGTCAGATCTGATTTGACGGTACACTCACATAAAAATAATAAAATAAAATTTAAAAAAAACACAGAAACATAAAACTATATATTTACATACATACATCCAAATTACTGAGGAACAGTGATGGCAGTTTGAGGACTAAAGTGTGCTTCATTAAGGCCATGCTCTTTTCAGTCACTTGCTATGTATTTGAGAGATGGACAATGAATAAGGATGACAGAAGAAGGAAGAACTGATGTCATTAAACTGTGGTGTTGGAGAAAAGTGCTGAATATCCCATGGACTATCAAAAGAAAAAATAGGTATGTCTGGGAGAAGGTGCTGCCAGAGTGTTCCTTGGAGGCAAAGATGATGAAGCTTTGTCTCACATACTTAGGGCATGTTGCTAGGAGAAGTTATTTCTTGGAGAGGAACATCATCATGCTTGGAAAGGTGGGGGGACAGCAAAGAGGAAGACCTTTAATCAGACTTGACAGTGACTATGGCAATTACCTTGTGTATGTCAGAGATTGTGAGGAAGGCACAGGATAGGACAGGGTTCAAATCTATTGCTGAGTCCTACTCAACTCGACAGCACCTAACAACAATACATATTCAACATTGTCAAATTGGAGCCAACTCATAGGGGACCCTCCAGCAGGTTTTTAGAAGCAATAAACTGCACAGGAGGAAGACTACCCATCTTTATCCTGTGGAACAGCTGGTAGATTTAAACTGCTTACCTTTGGGCGAGTAATACAACTCTATCCACTAGGCCACAGAGCTCATACATCTATATATACATACTATGCATATACATCTATATGTGTGTATGTCTATTGTTGTTGTTCTTGTGTACCACAGAATCAGAACCAACACATAGCTGCCCCTCCAGCAGGTTTTTGAGGCAGTTAATGGCACAGGAAGGGACTGCCCATCATTCTCTCACTGTGTGTATACATACATATATACACACACACGAGGCATATATTCATGTGTGCGCATATGTGTATGTGTGTGTATAAACAATCATTATCAAGTTGATTGTGACTCATGGCAGCCTCACGGGTGTCACAATAGAATATGGTTTTTAATGGCTAGGACTTTTTTGGAAATAGATCACCAGGCTTCTCTTCTGAGGTACTCTTGGTGGATATGAACTGATTCAATCTTTCAGTGAGTAATTAACCATTTGTGACACCCAGGAACTCCTTTCAAAATAACATTATATAACTCCTGTAGGAACTTAAATATATCTGTGAAAGTATCTTAAAAGGTCAAGAAGAAGGGAGCTCTGGTGGCCTAGTGGCAAGAAGCTGCACTGCAATCCCAGAGGCACGCTGTTCAAACCCACCAGAGCTCTCCTGGAGAAGGAGGGGCAATCTCCTCCTGTACTAGTCAGATCTGAATTGATGGTACACACACAAAAAATAAGAGGGGGAAAAAATTTAAAAAAAAAAAAAGGTCAAGAAGGATACTCATCAACAGGTATCTGGGGACAAGGTGAGGAACAGTGACAAAGGAGCTTTTATTTTACGTAACTTTTTAAACTAAGAATGAAAGCATATATTACTTGCAAGTGTACAAAGTAAAACTAAAAATAATATTGATCCCTCCAAAATAAAGAAATAATATTGTTTTAGGAGTGTGTTATGATAAAAGGCAGACGTCATAAAAAAGCAACACACATAGTGCTTGCTCCTCTCAGCTGACATTCTGTTTGCTTTTCTTAAGTGGCAAGCCCTTGGCATCTTCCCATCACCTGTGTTTGCAGGAACTAGACCTCAGAACAGAGTCCCTCTTCAGAAACAGGATGTTCTAGGCAGATTGGGAAATGCTCCAAGTAGAGTAGAGCCAAGAGAGGTAATGTAGATTCTGGCTCCTTTGCATTTTCATTCTATTGTGATCTCAGTGAAAGTCTACAAAGCAGATGGGTTTGTCCATTCAACCATTCACACACATTTTTTAATACCACTAATTTTAATACCCACAACATATCTGCACTTTTCCCTCTTCCTCCTTATAATTCTCATTCCCACTAATGCTCCTGTTCTACCTTTTCCTGCCTTCAAATGTCACTTTTTTGACCATGATTGGCTCTTCTAAGGAGTAAGTGCCTCACTGGCGTTAGCTGTCCCCTTCATATTTTTCACAATGTCACACACATCCAAATTCAAACTCACTCTTGTCAAATTGAATCTGATTCCTAGTGACCCTCTAAACTGGGATCCTGAGATCATAAATCACAATGGGAAAACACCACCCATCTTTTCCCCTCAGAGCAGCCGGTAGATTCAAACCATCAGAGACCACCTTTTGGTTAGTGGTACAACACTTTATGGACTAGGTCATTAACGTTCTCTATTCATATGCATTAAGCTGAGATGAAAAAAGATAAGTTGGTTGGATGAAAAACCAATTTACTCTATAAACTTACACTCAAATCATAAGAAAAATAAATAAAAAGTCACAATGTATTCATTCAAATAACTTAAAGATGAAAGGAGGGGGAGGTCCCTGTTTGTAATTAACCATTTGCAATCTGAGATTATTCCCTAACGTCAGTGTAAGGGTTGTAATCAATGTCACAAACCATAATATCTACTAACAGTTAAGGGGAAAGTAATGTGCACTATAAACTTTCAAACAACAACAACAAAGTTTAAAAAGTAAAAACAAGGGGAGCTCTGGTGGCCTAATGGCAAGGAGCTGCAACTACAATCAGAGGCGAACAGTTCGAATCCACCAGATGCTCTGCCGGGGAAGGAGGGACAATCTCCTCCTGTACCAGTCAGATCTGATTTGATGGTACACGCACACAAAAATAATAAAATTTTTAAAAAAAAGTAAAAACAAAGCTATTTCCCAACCTGCTATGTAAATTTTCACCAAAACCTAATAAAATATTCCTTTCAAAAGAAAAAATAATTGCATGCCTAAAACAGAAACAATTTCGCTCTCTCCTTTTATTGGAAAGAAGAGGAATATTTTCTACTAATAAAACTCATAATGAAGGAATGAACTCCTCTAAAACTCATTTCCATCGAGTTAAAACAGATTCATGGTGACTCTCCACTGGGTTTCAGATTGTAAATTGAACAAGAAAAGATATCTTTCTCTTGGAACCACTGGAAGATTTGAACACCCAGAGAGGCTTGGCCTACGGGTGAGCAGCGCAACTCCCTGTGGACTATGTCACCAGAGTTTCCTAATCAAGAAATGAGAAAAATCTTAGTATCCATAAAAACATCATCAACAACAACAAAACCACTTACTATCCTCAGCCTACATTCATACAATTCTTCCTAATAGGCTCAATGAATTTTCACCATATCTCCCTGTTAGTGATTTTCCCCCTGTTTACAGATGCAGAAATGTGATTAAAAAAATAAATAAAATAACCAAACTGCCAGATGTGTGACAAAAGATAATGTATGAGGCAGGCTAAGGGAACACTTACTTTATTATATTATGAGGGTAGGATGTTTCTACACCAATTAACATACACAACAACCTAAATGTCAGTATCTGTGATTACATTAGAGGTAACCTATTACTCTAGCTTCCTCTAAAGCAAGAGGATTACTATTTAGTGTATATATGCTTTGTTAATATTTGAGTTGGGAGTGAGATGACCTTCAGAGAATTATAATATCTCATTAGATAAATAAAGCAAGCTGAGAGAACAGTATATATATTGTACAAACCTCCTTATATTAGGAAGTAAAAACCCTACAAGTTTGTATATATTGATATGTGCTTTTAACTGTGGTGCCTCTGAGGAATCACAACTGGGAGAGATATTTTTTACATTATAAACTACAGTAAGGAACCCTGGTGGCATAGTATGTTGTATGTTAAGATAGCCAACCAAAAGGTTATTGGTTCAAACCTACCACCCATTTAGTGGGAGAAAGATAGGCAATCTCCTCCAATAAAGATTAACAGCTTCAGAAAACCCGACAGAAGATAATCATGCATCAGAATCAACTCAACAGAGTGGATCTGCTTTGGTTTATACTACAATAAACTAAAAAACTCAAAGAAAACAAATATAACTTATTGCCATGATGTCTAGTCTGAGTCATGGCGGCCCTCCATAGAGTTTCAGAGGCTGTCAATGGTAATGGGAAGAGATTGCTCATATTTTTCCCTTTGAGCTGATGGTGGATTCAACTCACTAGCTATTTGTAGCCTTTTGGTTAGCAGGACATCAGAAACACTGCAGGTTCTTTACCCTACACCAGTATTTAATCTTATTACTTATTAATATGACTGAATTACTTTTATTATTAAAAAGAGAAAACAGATTAAGTTATACATTTAAAAATCTAATAGCCATCACCAACGAGAGCTCAGGCAAACTGGCTGAGTGAACTGGTCTGCCCTCTGGAAAGTGAGCTGTGCCAGGAGACAAAAAGTTTTATGATTTGACCCACAAATTGTGCTTCAGGACTTGTATACCATGTGAGGGGGGGGAAATCCAAAGTAAGGAAAGACTCCTGGGTTTTTTGTTGGGTTTTTGTTTTTTTTTTTATGTTGTAATTCTTTATTTTGGAAGAATGATTGGAACAAGAATGAAAATAGAGTAAATGAAAGCATAGGTCTGGCCTGCTCTCTCTCTCTCCATCTACTGTCAGAGTCTAAACCCAAGCAGTAGATTTGAAGGTAGGAATTAGAGATACAGTGAGAAATTCTCCTATACATTTAAGGGTTTGATAACCCTTAAATTCAACTGACACATTTCAAGGAATAAGTCATCACAACAATAAAATGTCAATAAAACAGAAGTGGAAGCATGGCTTGTTGAGATTTGCAACATAAAAGAAACCCAGAAGTTAATACCTGTCACAGAGAGGGCTATAGAAACACTGGAAGGAACAGGCAGTTCTATGGTTGGAGTGATTCCTGGGTTTTTTCTAGAAGGTTGTCTCCAGTAACTTGAAGAGTTTTAGTCTACATGTTCTAGAGATCCTAGGACTGAATGCTTTTCTGGACAGAAGGAATTGTCTCCACAACAGGTGAAGACAGTGGGCTAAAAGAGTAGGAACAGAAAGAGGTATGAGAGGGGAATATGGTCTCTTGGTCAGGTGTCCCAGGATAACAGCCTCCTTTATGAGGAAGATCTTTAACTCCTGTAAAATCATCCCCACTCTCTTCAGGGTGTCTTTGTTCCAGAACTGTTTCTGACTAAGGGTTTTGGAAGCTTTTCCAAATATCTCCAGACTGACCTTCCCTCAGACCTCCAGTGTTGTATATCTGGCAGCATCCTTGCCACTTCTACTTAGGGGTCCTACCAGCATTTCAAATCCTGTGTGTCTAGCTAAACCTCCTGATTGTCTCTGCTCAGAATCTTCTCCTCACGGTTTTCTCCATTTCATCTAGCTGCTGTTGTTGTGTTCTGCTGAGTCAGAACCACCCACAGCTGACCCTCTGGAGCATTCTCAGAAGCAGTTAATCGCACAGGAGGGGAATGCTCATCCTTCTCCCACAGAGCAACTGGTGGCCTCAAACCACGTGCCTTTGGGACTTCACAGCTTGCAACTAGGCCACCAGAACTCTAGTAGCCACTGCAATTCTGGAGCCACCCTTGAATCCTCTTCCTCTCACATCCCAAACCCAGTCCTTCCACAAACTCTGTTGGCTGTCTTCAGATAAAAAAAAAAAAATCTCACCACTTCCATTGCCACTCCCTGGTCAAGCCACCATCATCCGTTGCCTGGATCTGTGTATCAGTTTCCTAATGAAGACTACCTGAATCTACTCTCCAAACAGTAGCTGCGATGACCTGGCTAAATGTCCCTCATTTGCTTAAAACCTTCTTTTTTGCCTTGTCTTACTTACTGCCCACAAGTCACAGGATCTGCCAGGATCCTTCTGTTCCCTGATCTTAGTGCATCTCACTATCCTCAGCTCCAGTCATGCTCCCCTTATTGTTCCTTAAATAAACTTACATACTCCTACCCCAGGACCTTTGCACATGCTGATTCCTCCACTTAGAACATTCTTTTCCAAACTGGTGGCATGGCTCATTTCCCTGAGCTCCTTAGATCTCTACTTCAATGTCACCTATTCACAGAACCTTTCCCCAAGCACTGTGTACAAAATAACAAAACCTATCACCCTGTGACATCTCCTATCCCTCTGCACTTAACATCCTAAATACAGTCATTTGTATATTTGCTTTATACTCTCTCTTCCAGCTCCACATGAATACTGACTTGGTCTGTCTTGCTCACTGCTGCACCGCCAATGTCCAATACAGTGCATGGGACATGGTAGGTGCTCCAAAAGACTTGATGAATGAGTGCATGAACAAATGAATGGATACCTGGCGATTGGCAGGAGGCGGGGGCTGTGGAACCACTGCAGGTGCTGCAGAAGGGGTGTAGATGCTATTGGTGGCCAGTGAGACTGTGGCCAAGGGTGGGGCGCTTCCCTGGCACTGTTCCCGCTTGTGGGTCATAAACGCTGGCAGCGAGTTGAACTGCTTCTTACACTTCCCGCAGAGAAAGACATCTTCATCATCTAGGAGTCACAGCACAGCACAGCAGGAAGAAGTAATGAAAAAAAACAAAACACCAAAATAAGAATAAGTCAGGATGCATGGCACTGAGAAACTGGAAGAGACTGGATTGTGAAGACAACAAATCTGAACATCCCGTGACTCTATGTGCTCCTGTCAAGCATCAGCTGTGCTTCCTTGGTGCTTTCAAAATCCACAGGCACTTGCAATAGCTCACTTGTGCCCTCATGTTTTAAATAATCAGAGATCAGGAAATAGTAAAGTGGGTTCCCTTCAAAGGTGGCAATTTCAGAATCTTTACTCTGTCTGAATGTATTCATCAGTCCCCCAAAAGGCCAAGTGATCACACCCTTTATACTTACTGTCTCCTGGTAAGATGCTCTCTCAATAGAACTCATCCTTTAGGGGGATACTGAGATGTCACCTCCCCGCCAAAGTCTGGGGTCCTAGTTCCCAGTTTGAAATCTTCCTCCAAATTCCACTTTCCCCATGACCACTAGACTGTGAGTTCCCAGAAGGAAAGAACTAGAATTTACATATTTGTATAACTACAGTACCACCTACATACAAAAGGAGTCTTCAATGGATGATTGTCAAATAAGTACAGTCATATCACTCATTGATAAGGGCCTACTATGGGCCATGTACTGTGTCACATATTTGCCATGCTGTTCTACAATACCTAGTCTCTTCTTCTTACATGTTACTGTTAGGTACCATCAAGTTAATATTCAACGATCACCCAGGCTTTCTCTCTCAGAGCTACTGAAGTACTAACCTTTCAATTAGCAGCCAAACTCTTAATTGTTGTCCTACCAGGTCCCCTTTACCTCTAAATATATCATCCAATGCTGTCAAATCAGTTTCAACTCATAGTAGCCACACAGGACACAGGAGAACTGAGCAATAAGACTTCCAAGGCTTTACAGAAGTAAATTGTCACATCTTTCTTCCATGGACCAGCTGGTGAGTTTGAACAGCTGACTTTTCAATTAGCTGCCAAGCATTTACCAGTTGCATTACTAGGGCTCTTTTTATGTATTGTGACAATTTAGTGGGAAACACACCTGCCTAGCTAAGACTACATTTCCCAGTCTTCTGAGTTCTGATCAATGGGATGAGAGAAGACATATACCATACATGCAACTTTCTCTTAAAAGGAACAGGCATGACTTCCATTTCCATCTTCCCACCCTGCTGGTGTTGGCTGGAATGAGGAAATGAAGGCGGGAGCTGGAACAACCATCATGCACTATACTCTGGAGCCAGCAGAGTCAAGAAAGAAAGGGTCTGGTGTCACCAAACTTATCTTAGATGTACTTCACTACTTTCAAGTCACAGAGAAATAAACTTCTGTCATGTGACATGGCATCCACGTTGCCCCAATATGTACTTTTTTGGGGGGGTGCTTTCTCAATCTGTTCTTTTTATATCTAAAAAGGAGACAGATTTGGGGAGCTCTGGTGGCCTAGTGGTAAGAAGCTGCACAGCAATCCCAGAGGTACGCAGTTCGAATCCACCAGATGCTCTGCTGGAGAAGAAGGGGCAATAATCTCCTCCTTTACTAGTAAGATCTGATTTGATGGTACACACAAAAAATAATTTAAATTTTTTTAAATCACATTAGGAAATTTCTTTTTTTTATTATTATTATTTTTGTGTGAGTGTACCGTCAAATCAGATCTGACTGGTACAGG